GAAATTAAAATTAAAATAAAAATTTACAGTATAAAATATGAAATAGTTCTTAATACCATTTACTTACAATACTTGTGCGAATTGATATTCATTGACTTTATTTCCCGATCCAATAGCAGGCGGTGAGAGGAATGGGTTATTTGGGGAATCTCTTATAATCGAAGGATTTTGTTCGCGCCTTGAACGCGATAGCAAGTCACATTGTGAAGAGCGCGATGATTCACATGATAAATCATCGTCTTTGTCTGAATTTTCTGACATAACGATAAAAGGATTCCTGGGGTAATCACTTTCAATCAATCCGCCGTTTGACTCAATTTCCATAATCGTTTCGATAAAACTTTTACGCCATTCTGAACCGTTTTGTGAAGAATCATCGTCCTCCGAATCAGTGATTTCTAATTCATTAATATGGTCTGATAATGATTCTTGTGTTTGCCATAATAATTTTGCAGGGTTAGGCAATTGTCTAAAAAAATGAAAATAACGAGTAACTTAGCTTGAAATAATAATAATAATAATAATAACGCGTAATATAAGTTTAATAATAACATACTCTTCATTGGAATGTAGATTCCTAGTAAAATTCTTTCCACAGCTTTAGTTTAGTGAATAAATTTTTAAATCATTCCAGTATACACGTAATATAAATCAAAATACATATATATAATAATTATACTTACTGTACATATACCATAGTATCACTTTATTTTACGCGTTTCTCGTGAAAGTGGAGATAACCTATGTAGTTTAGCCTTTTTTCTCTTGAAATTGCTAAGGTTCAAACGGATTGTCAAGTGATTAATAACCCCAAGTTTAACGCTTCAGAGAATAGTGAAGTCTTGTTATCAACCAGCTTTATTTTAAAGACTAATTTTTTGAAACTATAGATAACTTCGCGAAGACTCTTTAAAAATCGAAATAATTTTGCAAATTTGATAAGTAACATGAACTTCTACATTCTAGAATTGTTACACGAAGGTAACAGTTTTAAAGAAATTGCATTATGTATTTTGTCTCTTTCGAATTTTGTAATATAAATACTTATAAAAAATGAAAATATATCATAACTTCTTATATGCTTGCTTATATAGAATGTACCAAAAGCGTAAGGATTATATAAGTATTTTAATATAACTACCTATTATTAATATGAAATTTGGTATAAAAAAAAATAATCAACTGGTAAGTATATATATAATTTCTAATATAAATAATTAAAATAATTAATTAGAAGAATATAAATATATATATATATATAAAATGCATTTCTTGTAAATGTATATATTTTTTAAAAAGGCAACTAAACTAAAGAATAGTTATTCATTGATTATAACTGAATCCAATAAATTTAAGTATTTTAATATATACTTATAATTATAATTTAGAATTAACTGAATATCTTAAATAGAATTATATATATATTTTCTTTTGTTAAGTGTAAAAGTACTTTAACAAATTAAGTATTTCTGTTAAACTAATTTGAATTTACCAGTAATTATTAATATAATACTAATCAGATTAAAATATTTTAAAAAAAAATATATTAAAAAAATTAAAATGTTTTAAATATTTATAATTATTTTTTTTAAAAAATCAAAGTTGTATAATAAAATGGTTTAATAAATATTATTATTTATAAAATTTAAAATATAATATATAATAAAAATTTTATTTAAAAAATAATTATATAAACTAAAAATACTTACTAATTATTATAAATTTTATTAATTCAAAATAAAAAAAGAATTTGTAAATATCCTAATATCTATTTGCTTATACTGTAAAATAAACATAATTAATTTTTATAGTTTTATATCAGTTTAATAATTAGAAATATTAGATAATTAACAATAATAAATAAATAATATAAATATATTTTATTATATATAACCATTATTAATTTGATAAAAAAAATAAAAAAAATCAACTAAAAATTAAACTTTTTAAATTAATATTCTTTTTTCTTTAATTATTATATATATTAAATAAATTAAAAAATAAACTATACTACTTTAAATAACTTTAAGTACTATAAAATATACTGCTTAAATTTGAATTATATATTTTATTTTAAATATAACAAAAAATGCTTTTTATATAATTTGTTTTTTTTTTTTTTTATAATATTTTTAAAGTATTAAAGAAAGTAGATGCTTATTTTCATTTTTTTTTTTTTTATAATTTTTTGTAAACTTTTATACATTAAAGCTTATTTAAGATAAATAAATTGCTTAAAAAAATATTTTTAAGTAAACATTCTTTTGATATCATGATAAATGAAAAACTTATCAAAAATTTTTAATTTTTAAGATTTATTTTAATTCTTATTAAAGTAAATTTCTGATCTTTGTAAATTATGATTATTCATGTAAATATATTAAAATTTAAAGTTAAAATTAAATTTATCTTTTTAATTTTATTTAATAAGTATAATATTGACCTTTTTAATTATTATGATAGTAGATCCTTATAGTAATCGAATTTAATAAAAACTGCTATAAAAAGTAAAATAATTTCTATTTTTAAATATAATATTTTATATAATTTTCTTAAACTATTAATTAAATTTGCTTAATTTATAAATTATTATTAATATTATGTAAGATTATTTTGCTAATAATAGTTAAATTTTAAATCTTTTTATTATATCAAAATTAGTTTTTTATTCCTACTTTTTTTAATATATATTATTATAATTTTTATTTCTAATCTGTTTAATAAGTTAAGTATTTTTATATTATTTTATTTATATCATTTTATTTTATAAAAATAAAGATGAAACTTAAATATAGATATTATTTGATTCTATTAAGATTTTTTTCAAATTATATGCTAAATATTTCCATTATTAAGATTATATTTACCTTTTTTATTTTTAGAAATAAGTCTTTGAAGTTTTACTATTCTTTAAAATTATTTGATTACTTTTAAATCATATCATATTTATATATTATTTTAAATTATTTATACAATATAATGTTATTATTAGAAATAGTATTTATTAGTATATATAAAAAGATCAAGCATAGGTAAAAGTTACTTAAAATCACTAACCAATATAATAAATCATTTATCAAAAGCTTTATTTTTACTTTCTAAAATATTTATTTTAATTTCATATTAATTCAACTAATCATTTATTACTTAAATATACTTTTTATATTAATGATAAAGTTGCTTATATTTTGTAATTTTTTATAGTTATTTTTACCATTTTATTATCTAAATCATAATTTTTTTATTTATTATTAGAATAGAAAATGTTAAATGAATCATTATTTCTAATATTATAAAATTTTATTCAAATTATTTTGATAAAATATGATATTTCTTTATCTGTGATTCTATTATTATTATTTTTAATACTTTTATATAAATATTTTATAGAATATTATTGCAATATATTTGTATATACTTAAAATTTTTATTTAATATTTAGAACTAATAAAATTATTTTTATTTTTTTTAGCATTATCGCATTATTATTTAAAACTTATTATACAAAATTATAAGCAAATATTAGAATAATATTATTAAGTATTATTAATTTAATTATATTTGATCTATGTTTTAAGATTTTAGATTAAATGAATACACTATTTTTACATTTATTCTTATTTTGATAAATTACTTTTAGTTATATTAAAATTTCTTCTTCCTTTATAAATATAGTATAAGTTAAATAAAATGATTGTAATTTTTTTTGATCAATCATTTTATCTAAAATGTCTAAAAAAAAATACTTTTAATAATAAAAAAAGAATTCCTAAAGGTAAATGAATTAGAGCCTCTTTTACAGATGCTCAAAAATAGAAAATTTGCTTAAAGAAGTTGCAAAAACTAACACCTAAAAATAAAGAACTTGTTAAAGAATTTAATGTTTCAAAATGGATGATATGTGATATTTTAAAAAATAGTAAAAAATGGTTGGCTCTAAAAATAGAATTTTATGAAACTTCACTTAAAAGACAACTTAAACTAAGTTTTTCACAAATCGAAGAAGCTTTAGGCTATTAGATCAAAAAAGTAATAAATAATAACATTACCATTAATAGTGAACTATTAGTACAAAAAGCATATGATTTTGCAAAATTATTTAATATATAAGACTTTAAAGGGTCAGATAGATGGATGATAAGTTTTAAAAAATAGTATAATCTTGAATATTACATAAGGCATAGAGAAGCAGCAAGTGCTTCTTTAGAAGATCTGGATGATATGCACAAAGATCTTCAAAATATTCTTGCAGAATATTCACTCAATAATATATTTAATATAGATAAAATTAGACTTTATTGAAAAATAGAGCTAAATCGTACTTTATCAACTGGACTAGGTAAAATTAATTAATTAGATTAATTATAAATCAATATAAATAATTATACAAAATTAATACTTACTATACATATCTTATTAGTTGCAGGTAAAAAATAATCTAAAGAGCGGGTTACTATTGCACTAAGCTGTAATATTTCAAGAACTGAAAAAATAAAGGTAATTTTTATTAAAAAAAATCAAAATCCTCGTGTTTTAAAAAATATTCCAAAATTATCATTACCAGTGTAGTATTATTGGAATAAAACAGCTTATATACAAGTTAGTATCTAGAATGATTAGCTAAAACTCTTTGATACACATCTAAGATTTCAAAATCGGCATATAATCTTACATTATGATGGTACATCCACTTATATTTTATAAGAAAACACTATACTTTTTAATATTCATCTTCACAAATTACCTTTTAATATAACTGCTCATCTTTAACCATGTGATGTTGAAATTATCAAAAGTTTTAAGGTAAGTACAATACATAAACTTAAAAAATATATAAAATAAAAATTACATATCAAATATATAATTTATTAATAAATATAGATGCAATATCAAAAGTTATTTTTACAAAATCATATTAAAGCATTTGATAATAATCAAGAAACTGGTTAACCTATACCTGAAATTACAATAAAAAAGGTAATTGAGTATGTAGCAAAAGTATGGGACCAAATAATACTGATGATGATAAAAGCATTGATACTAATTATTCAGATTTTATTAAATATGATGAAGTTAATAAAATATAAGATCTTATTAACTGATTAACTTTTAATATATATAAAAATCCAATTTCTGCTAAAGAATTTATATATTATGAAAAGGAAGAAACAAACTATCAGATGATAACTGATGAAAAAATTATAGAATTAATGAAAGAATTAGAAGAAGAACTAAATACTAAAGAATCAAAAATTACTCTTATCAGTAATTATAAAGTAATAGCAACACTTAATCAAATAATTATGTATATAGAACAAAGATCTAATATAATTGATTTTTCAAAAGATCAAATTCAGACAGTAAAAAAATTATAAAAATTAGTAGAACAGGAAGAATTTAATTCTAGGTGGCAAATTACATTAGATTTGTGTTTAAAAGATGTAGATAATAATGAATAGAAAATTTGTTTATAGCGAAGTGAATTAATTTTTTTTCATTACTAATAAAGTTATATGAAGTTTATATAGTAACCAATTAAAATTTGACTTCCATTTTTTTATTGTGATTATATATTGAATTTAGATATGATATTTGATATCATTGTATAATAAATAAAATTTTAAAATTTGGTAAAGATATTATCAAAATTTTTATTATAACGAATTGTAACCTTCAGAAATCAAGATTCATTATAAAAAGTTTTGATTGTATTACATAACAATTAAAAATTTTAAATTAAAGTTATTAGTAATATATGTTTATAATATATCTAAAAACTATTTATTTTTACATTTAATATGATTATAAATGAAATAATTATCTGATTTTTAAGCAAAAATATGTATACATTTCATCACAAAATTAAATAAATATTAATTAATATATTAATCAATGTTGTTATTAATTAGACACTAATCAATGTAAAATAAAGTTGTTCTATTAATACTATGTGAATTAATGTGATTAATGTTAATCTAGAATAATGTAATTATGTGATTAATCGTATAATATAATGACATATCAATCAATTTATATTTTTTATATTTTAAACTATTTTAATAGTAAATAATAGTATATATTTTTATAATATGAAATAAACATCTAATACTTACTACAATATTGTTTATTATAAATTAAAATATTAATTAATATTTAAAATGAATAATTTCACTATTACTATCACTATCAATATTTTTAGCATCGATTCTTTTTAAATAATCTTCCATTTTATCTTTACTATTATAATCTTTATTTTTAGCATCATTTAAATTAATTTTTTGGTTATTAAGTAAATGTGTATTATGTTTATTATTACTATTGATATAATTAGTCATATCATTATCATTTTCTAAAAGTTCTTACCTTAAAGTTAATTTAAAATATATACAAATTAGTGCTATTTATTTCTTTTTATAATCAACTGAAAAATATCAAGTTAACTAAAAATTTACTCATTTTTGTACAATTAAATTAGAATCCCATTTGTTCATTCATTTCTAAACTTTTGAAAACATAATTTTAACTTGATCATATGTTGGATCTAAAAATATTAATGCTATTATAACATCAAATTTGATATTATTTTCATTTTGTAATTCTTCTTTACTAAATGCTCTTTGTAATATAATTTTAATAATATATAGTGAGTTTAGATCGTTATCATTTATTTTTTTCTAAAGATCACATCTTGCTTTTGTAACTCTTTCTGATTTTTTCTATTATATAACCTCTGTAAGACTAGAAAACTGATTAAATTTATAAGAGAATAATTTAAAGAAATTATAAATAGCTTCTTTAATTTTTCAAATGTAAAAACTCCTATGATTTCAGAAATATTCTAACATCTATATATTGAAAATAGTTATCATTATTATAAATAAATAAAACTAAATAAATAATAAACAAATTAATAAACATACTATCGAATGATTGGCTTTTCACAAATTATCCTATTCATTTAAATGGATAAGCTCCTGCATCTTCTGAAGATAATCTACTTAAATTTGTAATTTAAAAGCTTACTTAACTTCTGCATTTGATAGATTTTTATTATTTGAAATAGTTTATGATAAGCTTTCATCATTAGAGTTTGCAATATAAAAGGATTAAAGATTTTAAAGTTAATAATGAATTTTAATTAAAAATAGTTTCAATATTAACATTCCATCACATATACTTGGTATCTCTTCTCTTTAAACGTTGTTTTAATTCTCCTCCATTTGTTTGTCCATTTACCATAGCTAATCCTGATATTAAGGTTGTAAAAATATTTTGTAAGAGTTTTTGATTTTCAAGAACTTCATATTTTAATTCTTTGTTGCTTTTCTTTAAATTATCTAATGATATGTACTATTTTAGCTGTTCTTCAAGAACTTTTTTGAGAGTAGATTAAATATTCAAATTAAGTTTACAATCTAATCAAAATATTTTTTAAAGTTGTATTATATATAATAAAAGATAATATTTTAATATTTGAATATAAATAATAAAAATTTACATTTTACTAATAAATTATTTAATTCTACTTCTTCTAATCTTCTACATTTAACACCTTATTTTAAATTAATAATTAAATAAAACTAAATTAATAAAGATATAAAATGATAATAATACTTACTTGTCATTTTTTGTTGTTTACTAGCTTCCAATGTAGATGATAGTAATAAAATATTAGTAGTTAATTCTGATAAAACAGATCTCACTTTTATTATAGATTGCAATTCAGATTTATTAAATAATAATATTTTCAGATGTCTTTTACTATTTTTGAAGATAGTTGCTGAATTAGACTATTATAAATAGTCATATTATATTTAACTTGATCATGAAACATATCTTGATTCACCTTATTTTATTTTACAGAAGCAATAATTTTTGATTAATAAATAATGTGTTAATATTACAAAAAAAATATACTTGTCTTTTAATATCATTATAAGCTGTTGAACTAAGTTCACTAACTTCATTAGTTAAAATATTTTGGTATTTTTAATCTTGTGATATAGATACTTATGCATTATTTTTAGGAGTTTTAGTCTTCATAATCTATAATTATATTATATTATCTCTCTTATTACTTATAAAATAATTTAATAAAATTTATTATGGATTTTTGAGTTAAAGATTTGCTGTTAAATATATCTCTAAGAGATAAAGGTGAAATAGTAGAACTATCAACTGTATTAGTTATATTATCATTCTTTTTCTTTCTATTATGTCATAAATTCAATGATGTTATTATAAAAAATTTCTGTACGTTAAAAAGAAAAAAATAATATAAAATTTTTAAAATACAATTAACCAAATTGATTATCAATAATTAATATAACATATTATGCAAATGGCTTAGTCGCATCAAATGGCTAAGCTACTACTGAAATTTGTGCCAATGATTACCAAATTTAAATCAAAATTTTATTAGTTAAAAGACCAACATATAACAGGAATATAATCAAGTAATCATTTTTAAACGTGTATCATTTATATCTTTTCACTTTATTAACTTATTCAATTAAATAAAATTACAATGCCAAAACTAAATAAATGTACTAAACAGTCTCAGAATGCTATTAAAAAGTATTGAAAGCAAAAAAAAATCCCAAAGTATCTTTAGAATTATTAAATGCTGAACCTGATATGATTGATGAATCATGGTTTAATACTTTTTGGATAGAAGGTGAGGAAACTCAATTCAATGATGAAGAAATTACAAATGGAATGAAAAAATTGCAATTAAATATATTAGAACAACTAATTGAAAATGCAAAAAAGGCATATACATAGAATATAAATTTACATAAACTAATTTACAATAGTGATGCATAATCAACATTATGTAATAAAAGAGTATATTGGCAAAAAACAGCTTTTAGTTCTAAAAAGATTACTGAAATATTTCTAACAAACAAAGTTGCTGCTGAACTTAATACAAATCCCACATTTTTCACATTTGAAAACACATATGACAGCAGCGATAATGATAATGAATTCACTTTGAAATCTTTGAATTCATTATTAAAGAAGAAGAAAGATAATTTACGGCTTCAAACAGTAAGTCAATTTCTCCATTTTGTCTGAGATTACGGATTTATTAAGATGGATGCAAGTAATCTTCTTATCTAAAGCTTAAACAAAGATCCTTAGCAAGCATGACTTATCCATTTGTAAGTGAACTAATGGCTTAAAAATGGTATAATAGTTACGTCTAAATGTGGTCGTCATGCAAAAGTTAGGTCTCTTGTTCTTTATGAAGACCTCAAATTGCAAGTTACTGAATATTTACACACACATAAGTTCAAATTGAATGTTACTAATTTCATAAAATTATCAAGGATGAGGTTATTCCTGCTCTTAGAATAGAAGAAAAAACAAGTATCTCATATTTAATTACGCGTAAATGGCTGCATATACTTGGCTGGAAATATAAAAACTATTCAAAGAATATTTACTTAAATGGTTATAAGTGTAAAGATTTAGTAGCAGATAGGTATTAATTTTTACAGCAATGGGCAGAATTGCGAGAATGAATAGCTATCTACGAAGGCGAATATTTAAAACAGTTTATTTCACCTATACTTGCACCAAATGTTCTTGAAATCATTCCCGTTACTCATGATGAATTTATTTTTATGTCAATGATAATATTGTTCAAGCTTGGGATCTAGCAGAAGAGAATCAACTTTGTCACAAGTCATAAGGTCTTAGAATTCACATAAGCAACTTTTTCTGTAAATCTATTAGACGACTCTTGACTCTTAAAAGAGGATTGTTTTACTAATGATTTACTTCCTAATGGTAAGCAGCTTGTGTATACTGAAACTTACGTTATAATGTATTCTGGTATTAATTGTGATGGCTGGTGGAAAAATGAAGATATTGTTAAACAAGTAAAAGAGTGAGCCATTCCAATATTTGAATGTACTTATCCAGGAAAAGTTGCATTGTTCATATTTGATAATAGTTGCAACCATAATGTATTTACTGATGATGCATTGGTAGTTTCAAGAATGAACATGAAGGATGGCAGAAAATACTACTCTTTCGTGATGGTAAATTGCTTAATGATTTACTTACATTATGATATTTATAGATGTTGATGGTGTTATAAAGTCTAAAGGTATCCAGCGAGTTCTTGAAAAGTGTGATTTATGAATACTGGGTTTAAAAAGAAAATGTAATGTGTATTATAATATAATCTTGATCCAAATAAACTAGACTGCTGTATAACACATATCCTTTCTGCTCAACTTAACTTTGCATCACAAAGAATACATCTACAGGAGATAAGTTGCAATTAATATGATATTCATTATTTCAAATATAACAAAACATATAAAATACTTATTTTTTTAGGTTATTAAGGCAGCTGGACATATGTGCATATTCTACCTGAAGTTTCACTGTGAACTTAATTATATTGAGTCCTTTTGAACAGAGGTGAAGTGATACTTACGTCTTTACTGCAATTATTCATTCAATCATCTTAAAAAAGTTGTATCGTGTACATTAGATTCCATTAGCCTAATGAAAATTTACCAGTTCTCTTATTATTCTACACGTTACATGAGTGTTTATAAATATGAACTTTCAGGTAAGATGGCTGTCTTTGCAGTCAAGCAGTATTAGTTTCATTATAGAGTTTCTGAAATTGTTTTAAAAGAATTTGGTAACATGTAAAATACAAAAAAACTTTTTTTTCGCTAAATAAATATGGTCATATGAGTAATATGCACCAATAATATTCTTTCATGTGATACTGGTAGCACTAAAAATTTCTCTAATACTATTAAAATTAGAGTTGAAAAAATTCTAATTAAATTAAATTTTATAATAAAATGGATAAAAAAAATACATGGTTTTGTAGACCATATCAAAGACTATTAAATTACGTATATTTTTTTAATAGTTATATATTTAAATAAAATTTCTCTACATTTTGAAATCATTAAAAATCCTTGGATGGGACTAAGCCATTTGCACTATAGTTAATATTGATATAATAAAGTATAAATAATTAAACAATAGCTTATTTTTTTTTGTTATATTTTAAAAATGTTTTTTTACTCATCTCAATAATATAAACAGACTTTTTCACATTAATATGCTCTTCATAAACTTATAAAAACACATTAAGGTCAGACATACTGTAAGATATTAAATAGAATTTTGGAAATTTTTCATTGAAGAAAATATAACTAAATATTCTGAAAATAAAAATATAATAGTTGAAGATAAAAAAATGGTATTTTTTTTCATATTATACTTTATTAATTATACATTGTTATACTGTATAACAATTTAATGATATAAAAGAAAAATGAATATACTAATACAGATAAAGATAAATTTGATAAATTTGATATAAATATATTTTCAGAAGTAAATGAATTTAACGATATAAATGTAAGTAAAAATAATAATATTATTAAAATATTATCAGAAAAATATATTATAGAAGATAACGAAGAATCTGAAAAACCTGAAAAAGAACACATTTATGATTATACTCTACAAACTCATAAAACAACATATCAATTAATATAAGATCTATTTCAAAATATAATATTCTCAATTTCCTGATAATACTTATGCTGATTTTATAGAACTTGTATCAATACACCACTTTTCTAATTCAGCTGAAAATGATATATTAAAATGTTTTGAAAACATTATCTTTGAAAAAATGTAATTTTATTAGCAAATACAACATAAGAATATGAATTTGTAAATTCTATAAATATAAAGTACTTATTGTATTTTAAAATAAAAATCTAAGAATATGAAAATGAGAAATATTATCTTCATCATCATTCTATCTTTAATGCTATTAAAGAACTTTTATTTAATACTGATATTTTAAACATTATCAATGGGATTTTTCACCAAAATATAGTGTTAATAGTGATAGATATTATGAATGAATATATGAAAAGCAATAGTCTAGAATGTAGTAAGAATGTGCTTAAGAATTAATCAAAACAGAAATGAAATGTTTTATCTATAATATTATATTTTGATGCTATTACATTAGATCACCTTGAAAAAAATTCTGAATACCCTGTTTATTTATCATTAAAAAATATATAAAATTAGCATAAAAATAAACGTAATGCTAAAGTTTCACTAGGTTCTTACCTAAATTAAAATAAATTCATAATCACAAAGATAATAAAAAAAGTTTTATAATAGCTAAAAGAATATTATACCAATATTGTTTTAATATTATAACACAATTAATTTATGAAAAATTAGAAAGTAATAGTATAGATATTATAACTGATGACCAGATAATTTGAGCTTTTCTATTCCTTGAATTTATTGGTAACCTACCTGAAAATGCTGCATTTAGAATTCTTCTACATATAAATGTTTATATTACATTTGTACCATTATAATTGATAAGTTAAATAAACTTGATTTATCAAATTCTTAAATAAAATTACGAATACTTAATAATGTGTAATATATTTTAAATGCTAATATTACTCATGAATATTCAATTTATCTAATGCATAATATCTTTTGAAAATTTCAGTAAATAATTACAATTTCTAATTAATTTTCTTATAATAAAAATTAATTTTAATTATTTAATATTTATTTATAATCTATAATAATGAATTAAATATTTATAGTATTACAGTTCTAGATCGTATATATCACTATGATTTTGGATTATTTAATTATCAGATTCACTTTACTTATAGATATATTCAACTATATTGTGATAGAGAAGGTATTGACAAATTTAATAGATACTTAACAGAAATCCCTTATTTTTCTAAACTTAAATCCTTTAAAGATAGTCTTGACAATATTATATATTTTACTGTAACAAAATTCTGAAACATGATGAAACAATTAATTTTTGTTATTAATAGTTTAATTATTATAAAACACAAACTAAATTTAAACCAAAATCAAGTAAAACAATATAATAAGAAGCTTGTTGAATTATTTTTATCATAAAATAAAATGTATAACTTTAACTGTAAAAAATCTTTTGCAGATTCAGAACTTAATAATTTTCAGGTAAATTTTATAAGATTTTTAAATTATATTTAGATCAGAATCCAGAAATAATTTTAATTTTAATAATAAATTTAGGAATTGATTACTGATTAGACAAAGAAATTTATTGCTTTATTTACACTAATTGTAAATACCAGAATGAAATATCAAAAATTACACAATTGATGTTATCATATTATTACTTCTATATAGGAATATAAAGCAATAAATGGTTTCATAACTGAAACATATGAATCATTATACAAATATTATGTAAAAATTCCATATAGAATGAGCAATTATCAATACATAACTTCACAAATAATTAAGACGGTAAATTTACTTTCTTTAATAAAAATTTTATAATTAATTATTAATATTTAAATAATCAATATTAGGTATGACACAACAGCATTCTTAAATATTTTCAAAGAATAATATTACTAATAATTAAATATTATTATAATACATCAGTATTAAGTAGATTTGATAGTAGTTTTGTGTTATCAAATTTTAATAAATTTATCAATGAATACAAAACTACTCATTCTTTAGCATTAGAAACTGAAAAGGTATTCGATATATTAATTAATTCATTAAATTAATATTTTGATATGATTCAAGATATTATTGAAGATGATGTTAAAATAATACTTATTAAATGGTATACTAATACATTTGTTAGAAATACGAACAAAAGTAGCTATTATAATATGCTAGCTTTTAGTGATATTACAATTAATATAGATGAAGAAAAAGATCAGGCATATAATACATTTAATGAAGTATGCTTTGCTAAAGTAAGTTAAAAGTTTATTAATTAATTTTTTTATTTATATTAAAACTAATTTACATAAAATAAAACTTTAATGTTATTCAGTTTAAAAATTTTCAATCATGAAGAGTAAGAACTAGTATTTGTTAACTGGTATTAAAGTTCTGAACAATTTAGATTAATCTAAAGATTTTTTAGATCAGTTTAGTTTAGATCAGTTTCAGATTGCATAAAAATCAATCCAAAAATTTTCTGTTCAGTTCAGATTTTTTCAGATTATAATTCTAATCTGAACTAAAAAAAAATCTGAACTGAACTGATAATTTTAGATTAATCTGAAAGTTCAGTTTGATTATATGTGAAACTCTTGAAAGATCACAAAATTTGTGAATTCTCTAAAAGAATTGTAAAAATTTAGCGAAACTCTTAAAGAATTATAATTTTTTGCAGTTTCTTTTTGAATTTCGCAAAAAAATCATGAAAATCTTAGAGAATTGCAAATTTTTGTGATTACTTATCGAATTTTGCAAATTTTCACAAACCTTGAAAAGAAATTCACAATTTTTTGCAATTTTTCTAGAGTTTCACATATAAATTGCAGATTCCTTATATAATCAAACTGTAATTTCAGATTAATCTGAAAATTCCAATTCAGTTCAGATACATATTAGTATCTAATCTTGACTGAACTGAACTATTTAGAGCTTTAACTGATATGATTTAAATATAATGATACATATTGGCTACTCAAATATGATTATTCTCTTATAAAAACTATTCTGATATATACAGTCATAGCAATTGATTACATTGTTAAACTAGTTTACATTGTCTCATATTTTGAAAAGACTAACAAATATTTTATAAATTTATTTATTTTTTAAAGAACATAAAAAATATATAATAAAAGTAATATAATTAGAAAAACAAATAAAATATAACAAATATAAAAAGGCATATGTAACAAACAACTAAAACAAGACGTTAAACAATGTTTAAATAAACAATAAGTTGTTTAATTTATCAAATAAGATGTTAAACAATATCTAACTAATTGACTAGTTGTTTAATGTTTAAATATTACATTATTTATTGCATTAAAATTTCCGTTTTTTATCGATATATTGAATTATGTTTTCTTAACATCCTAAAGTTTGGATAAATAAAAATATTATTTTTATGTAAATCTGAATATACTTATATTTTTATGTTTATTTTAAAAAATTTATACATCAAAAATTATTGAAAATGTTAAATAAAACTGTTTATAAAGTATTTGGGCTTTTTGCAATAAAAAGGAAAAAAACTACCAAAAAAATTTTTTTTTGAGTTAATGTTAAATCTGAACTTATTTTATTAAAAAAATAATATTTAGCTTATAAAACAAAAAAAAATTTTTTTGGTAATTTCCTCCCTTTTTATTGCAAAGAGCTCATTTCATTTAGTTAATCAATAACATTTCAAAAATCTTTTAATATTTAAATGAATAATTATTTTTTAAATATAAACTTATATTTATTTCTTTAATAAAAAGATTTTAATATATATAATACAATTAAAATAAATATAACAAGTTTTTTATAAAAATTAAAAAGAAAAAAATAAAATAAATGATTAAAACTTTTTGTTTGATATAATTATTGATAATGTATTAATAGTACTATAATAATAGTTTTATAACACTGCTTAATATTATATATATTATTAATAGAGAAAGGTAATAGAATTTTTAAGAATATAGAAAATCTAGAGATAAGTATTTATAGTAAAAAGTTAAAGCAAATTTTAATGGTTTATTTTGTAAAACTATAGCAATATCTAAAATAATTGATTACTATAATCATAATATATAAACTTTGATACAGTTAACTAATTATAAAGTTATTATTCAATGTAATTAACCTTTAGTTAAATATCATTATTTTCTTATCTTATTAATAAAAAATAGAAATAATAAAAAATCATAAAAGCTTTAGATTTAACTTTAAATCATAAATTAATTAAGGATATTTAAATAATAATAACTCTTTAAAAAGAACCACTCATAGTAATGATAATAATCTATCAGATAGGATGGAAAATATACTTGATAAAAATGCATAAAAATTTATGTATTAGATTCAATCAAATTACTATTATGCAGATTAAATAATAATAAGCATTATATAAAGGAGAAACAGAGAAGCTTGTCTGTAATATCATTATTAATATAAAAAAAATACTGGAAAAGCATTACAGAATCCTCTGAAATCAAATTATTAGTATAATTAATGTAATGTTTCATTATGCTGCAATAAAAGTCAGCAAATATGTTTTAAAGACGTTTACAATTTTAAAGAATAAATTAGTAATAGTATTTTAATATCAAAATTACAACTGTATTCATCAATTATTAATAAAAATTATGGTTTTATAATTTTTTCTTAATATTTATTGCTAAATTTTAATCATAAAGAAATTATGAATATAAATGAAAATTTCTTTTAAATATAAAAAAAAAATCCGGAATAAATCACGGGATACGGATAATGTTAAGTTACAATCCGTCCCGTTATGGAGTCAATTGTTTATTACACTTAAGAAATAAGGTAAATATGTCAAATAAAAATCTAGCTTATTTATTATAAAGCCAAACAATAATGATATACTTTGTTATACAAGGTCGATATTATACATATAGTAGGTAATTAAATTAAAAACAAACATCATCTAATCAATCAATTTGGCAAAAGCCATCGTATTCTTTGAAAAATAATCTGCGATAACACTAAAGCCATCGTCTGCTTCTTTCAACTATTAAATGCGATTTAAAATTTATAATGAAATGATAATGAAATGAATAAGAATAAATAAGAATAATCTTTTACCTGGTCATAAAACAAGTCATGCTTATCGGCATTTTCTTCCTGTGAAATTCTTATATCAGAAATCATACGATGTTGAATAATACATTGTGGGCATTCACGATCAGAATCGGGTAAACATCTAGTTTAATCATGAAAATATATATTTGTAAGAACATTCAATCAAATACTAATTGGTCAAATAAACAGAACCTCGTATTTGCATATACCTTTGGTGATACGAGTGTCGACATAAAAAATGCACGGCAGGTAGGTCGAGAGTCCCACGACATCCAGTGCATTTTGTGACTTGAAAAATTCGTGCACTATAAAAAATTAATTAAATTATTGGTATTTAAATAATAATAATTATAAATAATACTAAAACTTGATAATAAACTGGGCACAAAGCTACATACACAGTTTTCAATTCATCAATTTCTTTTCTCTTCTTGTCCGTTTCCTCACGATAACTCTGTATCAATTTCCTATCTGCCTGAGCTTCCTTTTTTTCTAATTCAACTCTTTTTCCCATATAACCTTTAACCATACCCAATGTTGCCACAGAATTTCTACTGAGCGCCTGTATAACTTGTAAAGGTGGCATCAAGTTATAGGAATCTATGTGATCAAGTATCTTTAAAAGCTCAGGGGTCGAGGTTTCCAAATTTGTTGGTGAAGATGAAAAATATGTCAAAGTAAGAGGATAAAGAGATTGATCTTGAGATCTATTAAAGATATCACAAAGTTCTTGATATAAATTTGACGAAAAATCACATTTGTTCGCACATATAAATGATCAATTTCATACCCGTATTTTTTCAATGCTTGAATTACTTTCTCAGTATTATTCTTGGCCATATATAACCTTAGAATATCCTCGTACATTTTCATTTTCTCATACAAGTAAATAATACCCTCGTCAAATTGTGCTAAATAACAGAGCACCAGCGCTTGATTTGTATCATATGAGATCTATAATTGATTATGAATTGTTGTTAAAAGTCAATAATTACAATTTAATAAACATAATGAACTAGTATAATCAACAAGGTTCAAACACAGACATATTCATTCTTTAAAAGCTGTAATGCTTTATCTTTTCTAATTAACTTTTCTTTGACACGTTCAGTTTCTGTTGATACGGCAAAAGTACCGGGCGCGCCAAATTTTCTTCCTTTAGCATCCTTAGTAGAAATCACAGGTGGTAAATAAGCCTCAGATAGATAAAGCTCTAATAATGTATTCCACACTGCTTTTTTCTCTTCAATTTCTGGATCAAGTTCGTCACCAGAACTCTTTACGGACTCAGCTCTCTCGTCTGCATCATTATCGGCGAGAACATGTTCTTTTGCTGAAGAATGATTATGTTGTGCAGATTTATGATCAAAACCGAAGCCGCCCCAACGCTTTTGAGAAACTTCTTCGAGAAACTGTATCAAGTAATTCGGTTGGTCTACAAATAATGACATAAAAACACGAACTTGTGGCGGCCTATATGCGAGAGATTTTTTTAAACGAGTTGTAACCGCCGTTGCATTAGTTTGTACTATAGAAATAGGAGCACTAAGCATTTCCGCTGCATTTGGTGAAGATGACGAACCAAATGGTAAAAATGAAAGGCCGGGGGAATAGTTCATACTACTTGGATATTGTTGTACCACCGTAGGAACAGTTGGTTCAGGAGTACGCGCACGCTGTACCGCAGCAAGTAGTTCACCAGTACATAAATCAATAAGAAGTTTAGTTGTAGGTTCTGGAAGATGATTCAGAAGAATTTTCCCATATTTTTGCAAATTTCTATCCGCCTAATAATCATAATATTAATAACAATCAAGAATTATTTTTTTCATGTTAAAAAAGAAACTAATTGCAAGAAAATAATAATACCTCAAATGCTCCAAGATTTCGTATATAATCTAATGCATTTTCATAATCTTTGACATCTTCGATCTGTATTTTCAAATACCTGAACATAAAGAATTCTATTATCGCTAAACCCATAATAATTTTCCCCAATGAGCGCAAAATAACATTAAAGGATTACTTACAAATCATGCTCATCACCCTTTTTTGCTAAATAAACAGCATGCTCATAATATCCTGCTTGTCGACATACTTTGATAGCTGTCTCCAAGTCAAATTTGAGCTCATTATCTGTCTTTTAATTAAATAAATTTGTTCAAATTATTAAATTATGATATACCTCAATTATGCACTTAGTGTGCTCTTTACATTAAATTAAGAATTATAATTGTACCTTTATAAATTGGTCGAGCCTCGCAACATCTTTAAGTTTCGTATAACAATTGAGCAATAAAGTTGTATGGTCTGAATTTGCTAAACCGTGAGAATGCAATTCTTGAAGATAATTTACAAGATTGTGTATACGCTGAGCATCCAAAAACTATTAAGTTTGAAAGTGTTATTATCTATTAGAACCTATACATATTAATGAATACATTACAAAGATATTACCTTTCGAATAATGTATGATGGTTCAAGTTGTCCAATAGTACGAATATATTGAGCCATTGCGCTATCATAATCTACCTTGCTAATTAATTCATGACCAAATATATATTAATCATAATCGAATTTTATAAATTTTCATTCGTATAAAATATTACCATACCTGTATAAATGATCGCCATATTTCTTAAAAATTTCTGAAATACTAGCATCATCATATTTCTGACTGTGCGCAAGATTAATTGCAAGCAAATATAAATTTTTCTTAAACAGGATTTCGAGTTTTGTTGGCGTATCCTTTTCTTCGAGACGATATAACTGTCAGTTTTATAAAAGGAAAATTAAATATTGGTTGGTTCTTTGCATGATATAAGCCAATAAAATGGTGATAAAACTTCAAGATAACCTTTCCGTCCATTCCGAGAATGTAAATGCCACCCCATTCACAGCATATTGTTCGTACTCCATGAGAGAAAGTTCCCACATAAGCAATAAACTTGTTTGCAGTATCAAATATGGTAACCTTTGTTAATTCAAAAGGAACAGAAATTTGCGAAGAGTTATTCTGAAGAGATATTCCGGTACGAGTGGTGGTTGTAAGACGCGTTGGCTGTGAAGCAGGTGGAGATACTATAATAAGGTTTGATTTGAACCATGTCACGGCAGATTTCGTGCCTATCGTTATTAGGTACAAATGACTGACTTAGTAAACTAATATGAAAAAATATACAAAATTGCATAATTAATTATAAATTTTTAGGTTACCCTCGTAAGCAAAACAAGCTCCTCTCCCATCAGGCCCATAAAAATAAATCGCCTAAAATTTTATTGAAACTTAATAAAAAAGAAAAATAATAATCAAGAAGGTGGCATATATAAACTTTTTCAAACCTCGTCTTTGGCGACAACCATTTCGTGTGTGGTATCACTAATTACTGCACACCCCAAAGCACAACCTTGATCATCGATAACATTCTAGAGTGAAACATTTGTGTTAAATGTGATAAATATCAAAAACAACATAATAACATCATACAAGTATACGACTTAACAAACTTACAAGGGAATTCCTGCTTGTTGTGATACAAGTTAAAACATTATTCGTTGTAATTATAAATAAGATAATTGTCTTATTATGTTCTTTAAATCCGAGACCTAAGCAAGAAATGTGTAAAAAGTAAGCACATATTTATTTTTTAAAATTTTATATGATATTAACGAGGAATCATGTCAAGCTAGGGCACCTGTAACAGGTTCATCACTCTCATGAATAACCTTTTGTTTGGTATAACGATCCCTGGAAAGATCGCCTTTAATCAACACTACAACTCCATTGTCTAAACCGACGGCGATTTGACCCAAATTCTCTAATACGGCAATTGTTGATACGGGAAAAGGTTTTCCTCCATGGCTAACCTTGATGGTTCGCAGACAAATGGGAGTCCCTTTAGACTTATCATGTTTATCGAGATCCCATATTTTTATTAATGGAGGATCTACTTCCTATTAATAACAGGGAATTATGAATTTGCGAAAAAGATCTCAAATAATCGACAACTAGAAATGAATCATATAAATAAGGATTCAAATAGTAATTGAAATTCCAACAACATACTCCGACTGTTAACAAGATATTCTTTTGCTTCATTTGTTTCATATGCGTCACTCGTCCACCTTCATAGGCAATAAATGATTGTACATTAAACAATCGATCAACAATGTGAACATTTCCAGAGGAATGTAATTAAATAAAGAAATTTGTGCGATCTAAGCGCACATATTAATGGATCGTTAGGGATAGAAATGAGAGAATTCTTCTCGAGCTATTTTTTTTTAAAAAAAAAAAGGATATCAGCCAAGATAATGTTTCCTCGGCCGCTCGTGCTCACTGTTATGTCGGGTTTCTATGAAAGATTAAAGTTAGGTTTACGAATTATTTCACGATCAGTGCTTATTGCAGAAGTGGTGGAATTAATTACTTGAAAAACCTCTGGTGACTTTGTTGAATCATTAGCATCTTTGACTTGTTGAACATCAAAAAAGTTAAATTGTCGCCTGAATAAAAAATTTTTAAAAAGTTGTTACGCGTTCGTTCTCGAAAATAGAATTTGTAAATCAAAATTACACTTACCACTGTTTTACAGACATTGTGCTTTAAAACAAGGTGATTTCTTTCTCGTTCGTTGATTTTGTAGATGATCAACCGACACGTTTGAAGATTGGATATCTAAATATAGATAGTAAACAATGACGGGATTAAGGTTGGATTGATCTGCGGCCCAGTCCGGGACGGAACCGGTTATTATATATCATTATTTAATTAAAAAAAATAGACTTTATTATAATAAAGTAAAGGGTTGAATCGGATCACCAGAATTGTCGATTTGTAACTACCAATAATTGCTTTAATATTAAATAATAAATGTTAAACAATGAAAAGCATTATTTACACGCAGGATTATTATAATCGAATGATGATATATGTGTAATGATTAACCACAAACTTGTTCACGTGCCGGCAGGCCATGAACCGCTCCCATAAAATGTTCTTTTCGGGAAGACAAATATGCCTAACACTAAGCAATTGATTCAAAGCCTTAGATTTATAGGACCAGTCAGGACGGGTCTAATGAATGGATCCCAACGCGAGAAAAGAATTGAATCCGACCGGACTGGAACGGACCAATCCGAAGAGACGAAATGTCTTGCCTTTTAATTGATCATCGCATGCAATTGCACCCAATTATCAATTGACAACAAAACCGAAAATTTTTATAAAAATAAAAAGTCAATTCGCAAGGTCCTTCTCTCACATCCTTGTTCCTTTTTCTTTTTTTTCTTTCTTTTTTTTTTTTTTTACCCCCCGAACATGCTCATTAAAAATTTATTATCTTCCATAGCGGCTGGAGCTTTTCTAGCTTGCACTATCGTATCAGCCGAACAGTCTGATGTTATTACTTTATCAAAAGATAATTTTAAAACGATTGTTGAACCGGAAAAACTCATTCTCGTTGAATTTTATGCGCCATGGTGTGGACATTGTAAAGCTTTGGGTACATAATCTTTTTTTTGTTTTTTTTTTTAGCCAATAATTAAATTTTATTTGATGATGAACTGCAACATTTTTTTTTAACTTTTTTTTCTTTTTTTTTTTTTTTTTTTTTTTAATTAGCACCTGAATATGAAATTGCTGCTACCGCTTTAAAAGTCGAAAATATCAAACTTGCAAAGGTTGATTGTACAGCAGAGACCCAAGTCTGCTCCGAACAAGATATTAAAGGTTATCCTACCCTTAAAGTTTTCAAGGATGGTAATGCATCAGAATATAATGGTGGCAGAAAGGCCGATCTTATTGTCAATTACATGAAAAAGTATGAATCTTAAATTCCAATCCAATATTTATATGTATGTTATGTATTCATTTAAAATAATAATAATTATTAATTAATCAACTTTAGACAAGCTTTGCCCGCGATATCCGACGTAAATGTTGAGAATTTTGACACTTTCAAAGATTCTGATGAAAAGGTTATTATTGGCTTCTTTGATGACAATAATCAAGAGGAATACAACACTTTTTCACAAACCGCAGAAGAATTACGTGAAGATTTTCTTTTTGGTGCGACGGGTCAAAAAGATGTCATCACTAAGGCTGAAGTCAAACCACCCACTGTCATCCTTTACAAGAAATTTGATGAGGGTAAAAATATACTTGAGGGCTCATTTACCAAAGAGGAACTTACTACCTTTATCAAGAAAAATTCCATACCTTTATTGGCAGAAATTGGACCCGACAATTATGCCTCTTACGTTGATTCAGGTTTACCTCTTGCATTCCTATTTTATGAAAACGCAGAGCAAAGAACCAAACTTGGTCAAGAAGTTGAATCCGTCGCAAAAGAATTCAAAGGTCAAGTTAGCTTTGTATACATTGACGCGGAAAAGTTTGGTCAACACGCTGAAAACATCAATTTGAAACAAACATGGCCCGCATTTGGTATTTCAAAACCTGAGGAAAATTTGAAATTTCCATTTGATCAAAGCAAAGAAATCACTACAGAAGCCATTAGGGAATTCGTCACTCAATTCGTTAAGGGAGAAATAAAACCAAGCATTAAATCTCAACCGATTCCCGAGAAGAATGACGAACCCGTTTTTGTCTTGGTTGCTGACAACTTTGAAGACGTTGTGTACGATGCAACTAAGGATGTTTTGGTCGAATTTTATGCACCATGTAAGTAAACATCTTAGCATTAATATCACGTGTACTAAAAAAAAAATCTGAAGGAGGTTCAATTTATTATTTTTTAGGGTGTGGACATTGTAAGAAACTTGTTCCTACTTATGAAAAATTGGGAGAAACTTACGCAAATGTAAAGGATAAGATTCTCATCTCCAAGATGGATGCAACTGAAAATGACCTTCCTGCTAAAGCTACATTCAAAGTTAGCGGTTTCCCAACAATCAAACTTTTCAAAGCTGGTGATAACGAAATTGTAGATTATCAAGGAGATAGAAGTTATGAAAGTATCGTTGAATTCTTGAACAAGAATGCACTTAACAAAGTTGACCTTGATGTTTCTACCCCCGAGTCATCAACAACATCAGAATCGGCACCAACTACCACTGAAGTTGCGGAAGAAAAGCATGATGAGCACGATGAATTATAATTTGGCAGTAAAAGCAGTATAAAGAATATAGAAAGGAAGAGGGGGAAAAAAAAAAAATTTTTTTTTTTATAAAATACGCATTTTATGTATTCATATGTATCTATTTATTTGTTTATCATCATGAAATTTTTTTGATTTTAGATTATATTACATCGTTCAAAGAAATATTAAAATAATATTGTGATCGCGATCGCATCACAATAAGCTGTCACATCAACTAAAGTTTGCCACATAAATATAAAAGTTATAGTATTAAAAGTCGCACATGTCGCACAAACAATGGAATATAAATGGTTACTCAGTTGTGTGTGTACCCCTGCATGATTTCTGGATTATCATTTATAAAAGTAATCAATATTGAGTCGAAAGCATTGTCTAATTCCAATTACAGATTTTTGAAGTTTTTTCAACTCCTCCAGATATCACAAGTCACAAGATGTTAGATCAAGTTACAAAATTTGTTGATTGGATGGTTTGGATTGTCAACGGATTTTCTACTATGCATATTTGTGAAACAAGTGAAAAAAGTTCGCACGACCCTCTACTTTTGGCTACCTTTTTGTGACATTAAAGTCTGATGGTAATTTGACGTTAACTTTAGGTGCATGTGGTATTTTACTTTTTTCACTTTTTTTTTTTTTTTTTTTTTTTTTTTTTTTTTAACCACCTTTTTTTTCGGCTCACTACTCCTTTTTTCACTACACTTTTTTTTTTTTTTTTTTTTTTTTTTTTTTTTTTTTTTTTTTCTTTTTAAAACAAACCCCCCCCCCCCCCCCCCCCCCCCATTGATATTTCAAGCTAACGAGATGATCTTATGACAGGATGTATCTTATCACGCACGCGTGGGTTCGTATTGTAATGTAATAATTAACCTAACTGAACATTCATTCAAATTTAAAAGTACCACGTTTTCAAAATTATTTGATTACAGCCGGAATATGAAGTCGTCAATGAAATTAATGATGATGATTTGACAGATGAGGAGGTTTTAATCAACGACTCTTTGTTTGTTAAACCCAAAACCAAGAAACGTAAATCTGTGATAAAGCATTTCGTTCGTTGGAAATTTCGATTTGAATGGATGACCAACCAAGAATTTGAACCTTGGTGGGAAACCCCCGTGGAGACGATGATGATGAACACATTGATGATTGATACTCCAAGTTACGATATATGTCTCGTGTGTGGAAATCCTTCCATTCAGTTTTACGACATTTGGATTTGCCTCAATCATTTATGCAAACTGTTTTGGAAGGTGTGAAAACACATTTTTACACTCATTGATTGGTATATATTTTAACAAGTTTTTTCGTTTTTTATAATTTTTTAAATTTGTAAAAACCATGTGTTCAGGTTTGGAATTCGAACCAAAGAAATTGGGAATTCGCTCCACAAAACCTTACTTACAAACCGACATTTTTAAACCCCGGGTTTGTTCCTAAAGAATTGTTGAAGAAACCGCTGCCATTTAGCATTGTTCCTCCTTTGATACCCACTGCTCAATTTGGATTTGACACTTACACTTCGCTACAATGGAAAGGTTATCACTGCCGAAGGTGTGGAAGGGTATCATGTCGCATTAAATGGAATGGTTGGGAGTGTTTTAACTGTCATGTAAGTATTAATGTTTGAAATGATTCCCTGAATGAATTAATTAATTATTACACGATTATTGTAATAGAAAATACAATCTGCGCCGAGATTGATTATTGACAAATCAATGTTGGTCGATCCTTACCGACCAGTCTTCACTGGCCCAGCCACAGATTGTGATGGATCTATCTTAGAGGGCAGTGATATTTTTCGAAAACGAACCGTTTTATCTGATGGTGAAATTTTAATGGAATACAAATTTCCAGAAGGTGGACATGTGTTTCATTATGTGTCGAATGAAAAAACCAATAAGTTGCCCGACATGTTTTTGAAAGAATTTCAGAAAATCGATTGTGCAAATTTGAAAAGACATCCTGTTAAACAATTGTCGAATATGATGGGATCTTGTTTGTTCTCGAGGCAATTCACTCTTAACATCGGAGCGCATTATAAGCAAGCGCTCGATTTGGATACTGTACCTTGGTCAAGTGCCCCGAAAGTATGCAAGGACTCTTTTGTGTATATGCAGAACATTGTCAGGAATTTTATTGTTCCAAAAGCCAAATTCAACCAAATGCTCTCGGCTATATACATGGAAGGTCAAAAAATGTCATGGCATGATGATGGTGACAAAGGAGTTGGACCGGTCATAGCGACCCTTTCTCTAGGATCCTCCGCGGAAATGAAATTTCGTCGAAAAGTAAAAAAAGATAAACTCGTGAATGAAGTCGAACCAGCTGGAAAAAATGTTGAAATTGCGAGTCTAGAAACAACAGAATGTGAAGTTGAGGCCTTTTCTACATGTTTAGACTCCAATAGGAAAAGGAAGTTAATGAATAACGAGGGCACTTTCCAAGAAAATCAGGATAATCCCAATGCAAATGGAATTAATGAGTCCAAAAAAGGAAGGAGGAAGAGGTTCTCTAAAAATGCGGTAGGTAGTAAAATCAAACCTCAAGTCGAACAAGAATTGGAAAGTGCTATGAATGTTCAATTACCTCCAATTAGAAATTTAACCACTCCTGAAGAGGATAAACTACCCGAATTTTCAAGTATTGTATCAAAATTAGAGGAATCCACGAATCGATCTTCATACCTGCCTATTGATATTTCTAAGGTATATATCAAAAGGAGAATTTCAGGTCCCGAGTTGTCATTAATTTTGCATCATGGAGACTTGATAGTAATGAATGGTCAAGTTTTACAAGATAATTATGATCAGTAAGTATTATTATATATTTTATAATTTAAATTGAAAATTCTAACAAAAACAAATTAATTTTATTTTAGTATGGTTATTCCTAAGGGATTTCGCATTGTCTCAACTATTCGATACATTGAACAACAACAACAACAATAATAATAATTTTCTTTTTTACTCCCACATATTATTTTTTTTATATTAGCATTGAAAATTTATTAAAGTCATAAAAGGATAGATTAGAATGTTTGTTTGAATAAATTTGTGGCACAGCAAAATAATTAGATCCTCGATATCTTTTCACGTGAACTTAAATGATCTTTACCAATTAAAGGATAATTTACCATTACATTTTTTTTTACACGTGTTCTCTCACTATAAAATAAATTTTCTTCATGCACATGTTCCTTTAAAAATATTATTACAACCAATCGAGACACGAAACTACCGACATCTTTCTATAAATATATGTATGTTATATGCTATGCAAAACTTTATTAATAAATCACAAATAAAGATCAAACAATGCACTCTCGATAAAAAAAAAAATTACAAATAAAATAGATAAATAATATTATGTACAAATCTAAAGAAGAATTATACTCTAAAGAAAAAGAATGGAAATGGCCACCTTACCCCCAAAAAAATTGTCAAAGTAAATTATCCAATTGTTCGTTTTTTGATTGTTATGGTATTATGATTATTATTATTATTATTATTATTCATTATTTTTATTATTGTTTATTTTTTTTTTTTTATTACTTTTTTTTTAAATGTTGTTTCCATCACCTCCATTTAAACTTTGTGTTTGATTATTTGTAACTGATGCGGTTGGTTGAGATTGATGAGGTTGATGATTATTGGTCGTGCTTGGATTTGTAACAGTTGTCGTCGTTATTGTTGTCATTGTTGCTGGTGTTGTTGTATTTGCAGTTTTACCACAACCGTTTTGTGCCATACAGCCACGTTGATTTATGTATCTTAATAACGCATCTTTAATATCTTCTTTTCTCGCTGGCTTCGACACAAAATCATTCATACCACTTTCTATACAGCGAAACCGATCATACCATAACGCATTTGCTAAAAATTATAAATGAAATTTGAAGTTGAAAAATCAATATATATTTATATTTATATTTATGATAAAAGACCCTCGTTCTTCATTTACCTGTTAACGCGATAATCCACGGTCGTCTCATATCTTGAAATATATTTCGAATACTCTCGGTTGTCTGAAATCCATCCATGTCGGCCATCGAAATATCCATAAATATAACATCATAATCTTTATTCTCACATTTGCTTATCGCGGCTTTTCCATCTCCCGCGATATCACACGACTGATTTAATTTTCCAAGTATACGCGACGTAACCATCTGATAAATTTAGAAATATATATATATATATATGAATTCACTCCGATTCGAGTTTTAGATAAAGGTTAAAAGCACATCACTAACCTGATTTATGACATTGTCTTCAACAATTAACACATCTAATTTAGGTATTTCCGCGTCAATAGTACCAAATTTACCATTTAAATCGATGTCAAGGTCTTCATAAGGTAAAAGGAGTGGCGATATGGCAGTTGTGGTGGTTGTATCATTATGTGAAGCTGTCGCTGCATTGGGTGAATTAGTAGTTAATGTTCGTGGTGAGGAGGTAAATGACCGTTTTGGAGTATTTATGGGTGAAGATTTTTCACTTCCTGAAGATTTTGTAGTAAAAGTGGACGATAAATTTGAAACCGATGATGATGGTGAAGTAGTTAATATAAATTGTCGAAGATGCTCTCCAGGTCCAGAACTTTTTGACTGTCCATTTGACGATAAAGATCCTTTACTTTGTACTTGATCTTGATTCTCGTTGTCCTTGCTTAAATCTATTAAAGGTCTTTCCTCACTTTCAATTGAATTATCCCGAGAATTATAATTATCATAAAATTTATTATTACCATTTATCATCATTGAACCTTCCTTATTCATTTTTATAGACCCTGTCATTGTACCCATCACATTTGAATTTTCTTCGTTATTGCCTGATTCTCCCTCTAAAAATTTGAGCATAGATTTAAATTTTACAGGGAGAGAAGAAAACAACAAATTATCTCCATCTAATTTGTATTTATTAGACCTTTGAAGCGATTTATTATTTACCAATATCATTATTGGTATAGCTGACCATCTCTCATGTTTCAACATTTCTACTTCATTATTTTCAACTAATAACTGAAAATTTATTATTAAAGCATCCAAATCTTCATCTTCAGTTATTTGTTTCAAAGATGTGATAAACTTTGGTGATCTTTGCAGACCACATCGATCTAATAATTTTACGAGGCCTGTCTTATTACTTTCATGTTTTTCCAAGATAAATATAGATTTTTGACGGAAAAATGGAGACAAGGATGGATAAGATGGACTATTTGGATCGATATCAAGTTCAACACAAAATATCATTTTCGTTCCACTATTTGCCGAAGTGTTTGGTTCAACTCGTATCTCTCCATTCATTAATTTAACTAATTTCCTTACAATCGCTAAGCCAAGACCTAATAAATTATGGAAATTATTATTAAAAACTCATTCTTATTCTTATGATCATCATCATCATTATTATAAAAAAAGTGACATGCACCTGTTCCACCATATCTACGCGTAATACTTGCGTCAGCTTGCGAGAACTTCTCAAATAACTTTGGTAAAACTTCCTTTGATATGCCTAAATAATAAAAAGGAGGAAAAAAAAATTATATGAAGAATTCGAGAAATGCTATATAAATATATATATTTTAAATTTCATTTTACTTACCGATACCAGTATCGGTAACTTCACCTCTAATTTTAACCTTTTTAACATTTTGTCTTTCAATATATTCACTTTCAATTGAAAGGACAACATCTCCGTCTCTTTGAGTGAATTTACACGCATTCGACAATAAATTCACGATGATTTGTCGAAATCTAGTCATATCTCCTACAATGTTACAGGGCACTGTATTATCAATCATATAATTAATACGTGGTCTAGTGGATTCTTGTCCTTGAAGTGATACTATATCTAATGAATTCTCAACAGCTTCTTGTACACAAAAAGGTACACGCTCCAAGTGTAATTGTTCCTCTTCATATTTAGAGAAATCCAAGACATTATTAATGATGGCTATTAGCATATCTCCACTCTTTTTGATGATTTCCAACATGTCCCGCATTTCAGTCATCTCTTGACTTGATAAATGTGGCATTTCCAATAACATTGAGGTTAACGCGAAAATCGCGTAAAGAGGCGTTCTCATTTCATGTGACATAACTAATTAAAAATGTTCAAAAAATTATCATACTTGTATTTATATAAAAGCACATTTTTTACGTGTTAAAGATTAATAAGATTACCTGCTAAAAATTCACGATGAGCCTATTAAAAGCACAATGATCAATAACTGGTAAAATTTGAAATAAATAAAAACTCATTAAAGCTTCATATACCTGAATTGCGGAAGCTTCTTTTTTAGCTTGAATTAATGCATCATTTTGCTCAGCAAGTTGGTAGATACGAATCTAAAGATATAATAAGGTTTTTCTTTCTTTATTTTCTTTTCTTTCTATTAAAAAAAAAACTTTGCATATGAAGATCTTTTTTTATATTTATTTTTTATTGACTTTACCTTGTCTTGTTCGATTAAGGTGGCTTGAGCCAAAGCAATAGAAATTTGTTCAGCTAAATCTGCTAGGAAGATGAGGTTGTTTTGAGTATTTTGAGTCCATTCTTTATGCGACTTAAATTCAACCTGAGCCGTATTATTCCAACGTTGGATTACAATAATGCCAGATTCATTATCAGACATTTTAATTGGGACAAGTATAACCTTTTTTTGTTTTAAATAAAAAATATTTTAATTAATTAAATATTCAAAAATCCCGTCCGTCATAAAACATAAATACAATACCCTATCGATATTTTTATAAGTTCCATCCAAGTATAAGTCATATAATTCAGTATCATTTGGACCTAGTAATAAAGGTTTTCCTTCCTCCATAGCATAATTGATAGTACTACTTTCAGGATTCAATTGAACATTGATATTTTTATGATATTTGTGTTCGCTTCTAATGTAATCCTGTACAATTCTCCAACCTCTGGTCTTTGAAATAAATATTTGACATCTATCAGAGTCAAAGATTCCGCATACTTCAGAAGCAGTATTATGATAAATAACTTCTTTAGATAAAGTAGCACGAATAGCATGGGTAACGCGTCTAAAATTTGACATTATTTGATTTTCATCGATTAAAGATTTCTGCACGAGTAATGTTTGATTTAATTCATCTTCGAATTGAGCTGCCAATAAAGGTAACTCTAACGCCTTCGGAATAATTACGGTTAATGCTGCAGCCGTACTGAGTGAGATGATGGCAGTGATTACTTTTATAACAGCGGAAAGTACATATGTTTGATGCCATGGCATCCAAGAAGAAACAATATGAGTTGTACCGCATAATATGATGAAAGCACTGAATAAACCAAAAACCGAAGGAAAGGGAAGTCTAGGAGCTATTTTATAAAGATAAAAAAGGGGATTATTAATATGTATAGAACGTCCAATAATAAAGATAGAACTCCAAAAGTCATGTGACTACCTACCTTTCCTCATGAAGTACATTAGTTGAACTGGAATCGTATAGTATGCGAAAGCAATCGATAAATCAATTATGCATAAAAAAACTGCGAGACCTTCACCTATTCATATATAATGTAACAATAAAGTAAGAGAGGCGCGAATCGGAAAATATAAGATGAATAATGAAATGTCAGAAAAAAATTTTACTTAAATGCCAAGAATTTGGTGTAATGAAAACGACTTACTTAATGGCATGAGACAACGGTCGCCTTCAATGGTTAGAAGTTCATTATTTTTAGGCCATCGATTTAAATTATCAAATTGAAACATTTCAAAATGATAGTCACGACAATTTTTGTCCCGAGGCAATGATACTTTTAATTCACATTAATTCAATTTTTTT